TTGATGTCCACTTATAGGGGCCTTTTAAGGTAAAGTAATTGGCTCCCAACCGGTTCTATTTTAAGTTTTTCAAATGCAATATACAAGTTGGGTGCAGAGGTATTTGCAAGAAATGAGCCAGAAGCAACAGACTGAGCCAGTGGGGCTCATTACGAGCCCTTAAAGTGGTAGAACAGTAAATGGAAAGTAAAGAGTATTGGATGACGTGAGAATTATCGTGCCTCGATTCCCCAATGGGCACTAAGATGTGGGCATCAAGCACAGAAATGACAGCAGTCAGACAACCAAGTTAAAACCTTCAGCATGGCGTGTCTTGCTTCTTACCAAGTCCTCTTTTCATCACCACCAAAAGTTTCTACCGATTCCAAAGTGCATATATATAATTCGGTAGCAACCGGTTAGCCATCATAATTTGGTTTATGCTTTGTTTCAACGTTGTCTAAGACTCCGTTGCTAGACCCTCGTGCAAATAAATGAGTTGTCTCACCGAAACGGAAACTTTGGTTAGAGGAAAAACGAATTTGTAAAATTAAATTATCTTCCCCATTTGACAATATTTGTCGGTACTCCTTGCTAAAAAATGAAGGATTTAAGGCTGGATGTGTTTCGCAAAACGTTTCAACCATCAATTAAATGAAAACCATATCAACAGCGCCTTTTGCAACACATAAAAGGACTTAGGCGGAAGTAGTGGCTTGAGTCAGTGCAACTTACAGTCGCACATGTTTGTGTGCTTTTGTCTCATCTCTCTCTCCTTCACGCAGCTTTGAAGCACCTGACCACTTGGAAAACTCGATTTACTTTTGAATCCACTTCCTCTGCCTGCGGCAGAGCCCGACAATGGTGTTGCATCGTTCAGTCGTAAGTGCAGCACCAATTTTTTCACCATTGCACACAGTCGTTTGTATCGTCTATAGGGATCCAACATCATTGCCACTTTGCTCTCTTTGTACTCCTCTCCGAAGTTCTGTGCATAGCCTTTCAGCCTCTTCCACTCCGCGTGAAGCTCATCGTTCTCCAACGCCAATTGCATGTATTTTGGACGGTTTGAATCACCCATAGCAGCTCGCAAAAAGCCTTTTGTTGGTCCTTCATCTCTAAACACTCGAGACATGCGTCGAAAGTTGTTGGCTGCAAAACTAGCGCTTCGAAGGAGGGAGGAGCCCATAGACTCATCCACGTTGCTGGAGTCAGGTTCAAAGGTAGAGGAATGTGGTCGTAGACTGTTGGGCGTGTTTGTTGGCAGGACAGAACGCCTTCGTTCCTCATGATAGTTTGGTGTCACAACAAGTGATGACATTTGTCAGTGAGTTAATAAATGTGTGCGTGACATGGGATTGATGTGTCCTTCTGGCCGAGATTTAATCGTCTTCAGCGGACCAATTGGATACAAGTCTTGAGCATGATTGGTGGAAGTTGACCAATCACGTGCTAAGGAACCAATAATAGAAGGTTAACAACGAATGACAACCTGCCATTTCGGAGTTTAGGGCTCACTATTGTCTTGAGACAAGCACATTCTTAAAAGCTCGATTTAAAGATTCGCATTCCAACAGACATGCACCATGCTTTAGATTGACTCTCAAGACGAGAGACAACAGCAACCGCAATTTCGAGTTGTACAGCAGGGCGAAGATTTTTTGCTCACCAAAGAGGAGCTGATTGTTTTGGTGCTTTGCAATGGCAAGAAAACTGCTGATGCACAAACACTTTGACTCTGTCAAATTAATAAGGGCGCATATGTCAAAGGAACGCACCAGTGCCCTCCAGAGGCGAGAGACATCGTCGACATGGAAGCGAGGTGAGTCGAGACAGCAATAAAATTCTGTCACATGCCCCTCCCATTCACGGTTTAACGACGCGGTAGTAAGCATTCCAAACAGAGTCAACGCATCTGTAAAAGAACACATACCATTTGGGAATGGACAAATGAGACATCTTTGGCACGTGGCAGATCCCTAAAAGCCTTAAAGTAGGCTTTAACCCGTGCAAGCTTCCTCACCGCCCGGTGGATGGAGGAGAAGAATGAGGTGCGTGCAGGTCCTCATCCAACTCTTCTTTCTTTTCTTTGTAAACCCATCATCACTGAGCCCAATCCAAAGGGGTTATTCTTCCCTGATATTTGCCTTTCACTACACAATCTATCCGCACTTTGTCAGTCACAAACTGCTCAACGAGTTGAAGCCACCGAAGACTTTTCGTCGTGCCTAGACACTTTATTTTTCCTCTTCTACGATGATCGACCCCCAACTGCCGAGTTGGTAAGCCAACGAAAGGCACATTTATTCATTCATTTGATTCCCCACGAAAAACATGAGGAGAATGATTGGAAGAATCATTCATGACAGTAGCGCCATTTCCTGCTACACAATTCACTGACGTGACTACAGCAGAGGGAGGAATTTCAATAGGCAATCAGACGGTTCAAACCCAAACAACAACAAAAACAACAAACTCATGCAAATCACAGAGGTGTTTGCGTCTCTGTAGGCACAAATGATTGTCCTTCTTCATTAAAATCTTTCCGGAGGATGAGTGAGGTAGTTGTGCTCCAACAGCTTGTACTATGGAAAAGAGTGAAAGAAAGTTGCAACGAACTCCTTCGAAATTGCAGTTTTGCAACTAAGCAATTCGTGACAACCTAAAGATACACCAATGCTTAAATAAAGCATCGAGATCGACAAGAAAATCAACTTTATCTCCTCCTCCTCCTCATTGCATACACCCCACCGCGCTGCAAGTGAAAATAAGTCGGAGGAATACTTTAACGCAAAGGGGATGCATAAAGGAAAGCTTAAAAGTAAATGGTAGTTTGAGGTTGAAGCAAAAGTCTGCATTGCATTCCCACTAAGCGAGCTACCACAAAGTATGTTTTCGCATCCACGGCGAGGGCACATCAATCAAACTTTACAAAGGGTCGTGGCATTACAACCACCACGTATGACGTGATAAACCACTCTGATCAAAGTAAAAACAAAAATTAAATAAAAAATAATACAGTGTCACTTTTATGTGTGAATGCGTGCAGTGCAAAGAATGTCAAAAAGCTGGAAGGCTATGCAAGCACTATTTGAGAGCGACAGTG